ATCATTTAGGCTTGGTTTGGGATACACTAAATAATACAAAAAGTCAAAAAGTCACTATCCTATTTAAGTCACATCATCTTATTTAAATCACATCACCCCTCTAATATATCACATCAAACCCAACCCATATAAGCCAATAAATCAAAAAGTACACTTTTTTATAACATTCCAAACCAACCCTTAAACACACATATAAGGTTCGTTAAAGTGGCCGACTAAAAGCGTTAGTATCACATGACACAGTTGTTATCTTCTATTTTATAGAACATTTGCTAGAAACACCCGATGTAGTCATGATTGATATGTTCATTGACAACAATGAAAAAGGTGAAACTTTTTTAGTGTATTAGTTGGAGGTGATCAAGAACCTTGTACAGCTAACACAACATCATTAAACAGTCAGGTCTAGAAGCCCATTACAGTTTTTTATATGTCAAAAAACTAAGTAAACATTAAACTAGAATAATTAGTGACGCCGGACAATTACTTAAATGATTATGAAGATGATATTTAGGTACTAAATTTTAAGTTCAAATCTACGGAAAAAAGTTGATTTACGTTGTAATTTAACTATTAATATAAGAATGGCTATCTTGTTATACCCTTGTGAAAAAATGAAAAAAAAGAAAACCAATTCTTAGGGTCCGTTTGGGGAGTTATTGTTTTAGTAATTTTTTAGCCTTTCAATTAAAACATGAAGTAAAAAAAATCATTTACAAAAAAAAGCGTGCAAAAAATAAAAATAAGTAATCTTTTAATTTTTTAAACCTTTTAATTATAATTACATCTTTCCAAACGAGGCGTAGCAATACAGCATATGCCCAAACGTCCAGGCAGGCGGTAGTAGTTGGACTCACCCGTGCGGCGTAATGGCGGTTTTTGGGCCCCTACACCCAAACTTTTTTTAAAAAAAAAATTTGAGAAAAAGGGGATCATCAATTTTGTAATGACAAATGTGATCTAAACATGAGACTATGATATTTTTATTGAGAGAGTTACGGGTCGGTTTGTTGGACCGGACTTAATTTTTAAGAAATCCTAATCCAAAATAATTTAGTCAATCTTCTATTTTTACTCTTTACATTTAGTTGAGTGATTTTATCCTAAATCCAAACACATGTCTATCTCTCTCTCTCTCTCTCTCCTATTTCTGTCACTGGCACACCATTTTCTTCTCCTCCTCCATCACCAACCATTATCTCCTTCTCCTTCGTTGCTATCACTGTTGCTCCTCCCCCATCATTCATCTACTAGCTTCAACACTGTAATCTTCTATCATCGATCTACCATCTTCGACATCGTTGTTGCCACCATCTTCTTCCATCACCAGTTTGGGATGCAAAGTGTCCAATCAATGCATTGAAAGGTGTTGTTGATCTTCTATAGACGTGTAACTGATCTGATAAATTTGTTACTTAATTTAATGATAAATTTGTTGTGATGCCCTCCCTCTCACTCAAATCAAGTCTGCTATTTGTAAATTTTTTAACAAATTCATTAATGATTAATTTATAACTGGTTTAAACAAATTTATCACTGGTTTAAACAATACAAAGCTCCAAACTTGTCAATATCGACACACCTATCTCCATTCATATCAATTTTCTTGATCTTTCTCAGATCTAACATCATTTCTCTCAAATCCAAGGGTCACATAGACAGTTCTCATGTCCACCAATACCAACGAATTCATCAATGGCTCTGGAACTCGTCAATGTCGACACATCCCATCTCCATTCATATCGATTTTCTTGATATCTCTCAGGTCTAACATCATCTCTCTCAAATCCAAGGGCCACAGAGGCAGTTCTTATGTTCACCAATACCAACGAATTCATCAATGGCTCTAACAGTTCTCATGTTCACCAACACTACTAATTCATCAATAGCTCTGGCAGTATAACAACAGGGGCAAAATCGGGATTAAAAAATATAATAGGATTTCCTGGTACATGAGATAGAAACTTAGGACCTAATGGGTAATAGATTTAAGGGTTTGGTTATGGTGTGCAACTTACACCTTACACCTTATACCTTACATTTACACCTTACACTTACACTTTTTGTAAAAAATTAAACCTTACACTTACACCTTTTTTGAGGTTGCACACCATGTGCAACCCACTTACACCTTACACCTTACACTTACACCTTCCACTTACACCTTATACTTATACTTACACCTTACACTTACACTTTTTGTGTAAGTGGCACATGGTGTGCACTTGCACACTTAAGAAAACTCCTAGATTTAATTATTGAGACCGGCTGATAAAAAATTCTATTTTATTTGGCAAGTATTAAAAATTGAACGATCTGAATTACTGAGGTGAATTCAATTAGGCCCACAATATACTACAATATAATCCTATCCAAATAGTGGACGAGAGGAAAGTCAAACTTTTATTTTTATTTTTATGTTTTTAGTGGCAGTGCTATAGGGGTTTAGACCCGATTACTTACAAATAAGTATAATTTTTTCTTTAAATTATCATCAAGTTCCACTACTTTTTAATTGAACAATTAAGTTTTTTTTTTCCCCTCGAATTCAAAACTCACAATAGCATGTTTTATTCGAACTTTTCCCTTCAACATGCAAACAAAATTCAACAAAGAAAGTATATTACGGACACGCCTTCACATTTAACAAAAACACACAGGCAGACACTTATAATATTTGAAAGTAGTATTAATTTAACTCAAAACCTCATCAGTGATTCATGTCCTCGACACACACAAACACAAACACGGCCATAATCCTTTCGTTTTGTATTTATTGAATAATTATTAAACGTAAGTTATAAGGGTTAAGGCTGCACAAGAAATCTGTGAAATCCGTGATTCGATCCAGTTCAGTCCAATCCAATAGGTTTGGATTGGTTTTTTGAATCCGTGATTCGGTTCCGGATTGAAAAATTAAAAATCCGTAGTTCACGGATTGGTTCTGAATTCAACCCCACGGTTCCGGATTGGAACCGATCCGCACCGTATACAAATAGTCTATATTTTTATTATACACCCTCCTGCATAGTATCTTCTCTTATTTTATATAAAACTTAAATCCAAACCTAAACTTATATAATATCTTCTTTTATTATTTTTGTTTGTTAGTTTTTAATGTTAATTTGTAATGGTCTAAATACTTATTATAGAACCAGTTTTCTAATGATTGTTTAAATTCTAGAATAGTATGTCGCTATTATGAAAAGACATGTTGTTATTGTGAAACTAATATAGTGCTATAATTATATTTTTATGAAATTAAAGTGTTATATATTGTCACGACCCAAACCCGGCCCTATGGGTTTAGCACCGTAACCGGCCAGTAATCCCGTTTTGATACATGATTGGGCCCGAGACCGTTTTGTTATATGTTCTCTCTCCCTCTCTCCATCGGCTAAAGCAAGGAAAATGGCTGATCAAAATGTGTTTTGATACAAGGTGTAATGAGGCTCAAACATGTATGTTGAGTGGGCCACTAGGGGTGGCATTATGGTGATTAAGTCCAACTCTTTAATTAGTTTAATTTAATCTAATTTAATCATACCTAATCAATTTTCAGATAATTATACTATAAAATCACATAAATTACGAGGGTCACAAAACACTAATCGGTTTCAGATTCGGCCGCCGATAAGGCCTTCAATTAGCAGTTTAAACATATAAACATGAACAGATAATCAGACAATCAAACAGATAGAATGCAATTAACTAACATATACTCAGTCAATTCAGTTTCAATTTCAGTCAGTCAGTTCAGTATTTCATTCAGTTCGATTATCAGTCAGTTATCAGTTCCGTTTAGCAGTAATCGGTGATTATCGGTAATCGATCAATCCTTAATCAGTAAACAGTATGAGGGTTGTTACATATATATTTTTTGTTATTTAATTATGTAAATCCGTGGTCCTAAACCGATCTAATCCGTGTTTAAATGGATTGGTTCGGATTGGTTCCACGATTTAAACAGATTGGATTGGTTTCAATTTTTTAAGAACCGTAGATAACGGATTGGTCTTGATTTTATCCCAATCCGGTCCAATCCGGACCATGCTCACCCTAATAAGGGCCTTAAGGGAATCAAGTGTAACATATATCAGCAATGATATTGAGTTCTAAATCCACCACTAGTGAGGTGAAAATGAAAAAAAAAAAATAAAAAAATCAAGACACAACACATACTATGACAGTAGGTGAGACCCACTACCACATCACTTTCCTCTAATTAGAGGTCTCAACCTTTATTCAACATATATATTAAACTCATGAACTACACTTTAAAAACTTGTCACAGTTCAACTTGTTATCCAATTTATTTATTGAAATGAATTTAGACATGCAAGTATCTATAATTTGAAATACTAAGGTGTTATTTGTCAAAACTTAAAAAAATTAAAAAGTCATTATTCTATTTAAGTCACATCGTTTTATTTAAGTCACATCATCTCTTTATTACATCATTTCAAACTCAACTTATACCCAACTTATATTTCATAAAAAATCAAAAAGTACACTTAGTTAGATCATCCCAAATCACCCATAAATTAAAGAGTTGGCATCCAGCAAAAAGTCATTTTTTTTTTTATAAAAAAAAAAAAAAATTCAATCTTTTTTAAAACTTGTGTCAATTTTTTAATTTTTTTTTTCTAAGTCCGTTTAGATAAACGAATTTAAAAAGCACAATAAAAATTAAAAAAAAAAGGATTTTTTTTACTAAAGATAAAATAACAAAAAATTCGAACACCAAACACCCACACGATCGACAAGACACTTGCTATTCTCTATTCTCTATTATATTCTCATCAATTATTTTAAAATAAATAAATAAATAAAATAAAAGAAAGAAGGAAATGAAAATTGAAACCGGGAGGTTTGTTTGGAGCCAACAGTGAGTTATTCACAGAGACAAAAAAAACCGCTTGAAACCTGGCGGGTTTAGGTCCCCACACCTCAAAAGTGTCTGTTAGTAGTTGTGAGGCGTTGCCCTAGCCTAGCCAAACAACCCTCCCTCTCTCTCTCTCTCTCTCTCTGCCCCTCCCCCAAACTTCTATTTATTCCCACCTCACCCCCTGCCCATTTCCTCACAAGTCCATCCGCCAAAATCTCTCTCTCTCTCTCTCTCTCTCTCTCTCTCTCTCTCTATCTAAAGGGGTGAGTATCAATTTTTCAATTTAGTCTCATTTTCAAGTGTTGGTAGTCCCTAGACACTAGAGCTAATAACAAAACTCATTCTCATTGTGCAGCTAAAAAATGGTTCTAGTTGGGATTTGCATAGTGGGATTACTCACTCTCTTGTCATTCTCATGTGGTGGTGTTGATGGGTATGATGGGGAATGGGTTGATGCTCATGCCACTTTCTATGGAGGTGGTGATGCTTCTGGCACTATGGGTATATACTCTGCTCCAACTCTTCTATTCTTTTATTTACCTCAATATATCTCTCTCCCTTGTCTCCTTTAAATTGTGTTGAATTTAGGGACAAAAAAAAAAGAAGAAAGAAATATATATACATATATTAAATCAGTAAGAGATATCTCAATTATTAGTCCACCCATTCTATTGTTTAAGGCCTGAAAAATGTTTTAATTTTTTTTTATTAGTGAAGACTTCATTTTTGTCGAAAGTCCATTAAAATAAGGTCTTAATTTATTGTTTAGCCTAAAGTTTCAAAGAACCTTAGGCCGTTACTACAATAATTCCCTATTAGATGGGGTCTAAAAGGGGTAGATTGTGTAAAAACTTAACTTTTAGCATAATTTATATAAAATAATTTCCCTGTTTTGATAAGAAGAAAATATTAGCAAAATAGAAAGTTAAATCATTAATAATAAGTGTTTGATGTTTTCTTCATAAATTTAAACCCCAAATCTCTCTTTAAAAATCAAAGAAAGCTCAAATTTCAACAACCTCAAGTCTTTTCTTTTTTTTTTTTCTTTTTCTCCCTCCCCCTCTCTCTCTCTCTGTGGGTCACACAGTAAGATATTAGTAGATTATTAAAATAGATCAACGTTAAAATAAATAATAAAAAATTACTTTATATTTCATTCAAATTTTTTTTTTTTTTAATTCTCTTCTTAACATGTTTACTTTTCAATTTTAAAATTCAAATACAACCTTTCAACATTAACCCATTTGCCAGTTCGTATAACGAAACACCTTTCAATTTTTTATTTTTTATATTTTTATATTTCTTCAAAATTTTTTGAATTTTTGTTTTGGGTGGATGCAGGTGGGGCATGTGGGTATGGAAACCTATACAGCCAAGGATATGGGACCAACACAGCAGCCTTGAGCACAGCTCTATTCGACAATGGGTTTAGCTGTGGAGCTTGTTTTGAGATAAAGTGTGTGAGTGACCAAAAGTGGTGTCTCCCTGGCTCTATTGTGGTCACAGCCACCAACTTCTGCCCTCCAAACACTGCCCTCCCAAACAATGCAGGAGGGTGGTGCAACCCTCCCCAACACCACTTTGATCTCTCTCAGCCTGTCTTCCAACACATTGCTCAATACAGAGCTGGGATTGTCCCTGTCTCTTACAGAAGGTATGTGCTTTGGACCTCTTATGTTAAGAAAAATGATTTATAAATAGAATTTTTATACATAAAACACATCCAGAATGATGTTTTTGTGGTATTTTTGTATAAAAATTATATTTGTATAGTATTATTCTTTATTTTGTTGGAAGGGTACCTGCCATATAGGACACCATAGATCATTTAAAGTTGCTTTCTAGGTCTAGACATGTCTGGGGCTATGGTTAAAATGGTAATTTGAAATTTTGAGGCTTACATTCCAGGCTATTTCATATGTATGCATACATGCATATAGATACCCATAATAAATATATAGTATTTGCTAAGAGATGAAGCTAGATTTTACATACAGAAATATCAGCATACATATACATGTATATAGTTGCAAATATGTATGCATCCATATGTACAATTATATATATATATATATTCTTATGATTATATGGAAGGTCAGGGGTTCGAGCTGATGGAACAGCGACGAACTCTTCCATTATAATCTAAATATATTAACATACTAATCTTATCTTTGATAAAAAAAAAAAAGAAAAGAAAAAAAGAGAAGGCCGTCTATCTTTAAAAAATTGAAATGCAATTATAATTTTGAAAAAAAAAAAAGAAAAGAAAAAAAGAGAAGGCCGTCTATCTTTAAAAAATTGAAATGCAATTATAATTTTGATAATAAATTGTCTATTTTTTAAGACAAATGTGATTTAATTGCATAGTTACTGATTTTCGATCGACTTTAAATTTTAATAAGTATGATATGCTCAACACATCTTACAAAATTAATAGTTTAAATTTTAATAAGTATGATATGCTCAACACATCTTACAAAATTAACAGTTTAAATTACCAAGATAGGCCAAGAATGGACTCCCTGGCTTTATATTAGAGAGAGTTCCAACTCTATATTTAATATTTAGTCAATTTATGAGATTCTCTCCATACAATTGTAAATAATATCATATCTTGAGATTCTTATATTTCGAGATCTTTAGAATCTTAATCAGAGAAATTTGGTTATAGAAGATTCTTTCCCCAATTAATCCCCTCTCTCTCTAACTAAACTTCTTTCTAACCTTAATTATAGGGTACCTTGCATGAAAAAGGGAGGCATAAGATTCACAATCAATGGCCACTCATACTTCAACTTGGTCCTAATCACAAATGTTGGAGGTGCTGGTGATGTCCAAGCCGTTTCCATCAAAGGTTCAAACACTGATTGGCAACCCATGTCAAGAAATTGGGGTCAAAATTGGCAAAGCAACACTTACCTCAATGGACAAGGCCTCTCTTTCAAGGTCACCACAAGTGATGGTCGTACTGTGATCTCTTCCAATATTGCCCCTCCTAGCTGGTCCTTTGGCCAAACCTTCAGTGGTAGCCAATTCTAAAATTTAGTAGTTCCTCCATATTTATTTGGCAACTACTAATCATAGTAATAGTTTCTTATTTTTATTTTTTAACAATCGGTAGGAGAAGGCTCGAATCTAGGCATCTCGCTTGGTAAGAGAGCGCCAATATTAGTACTAATTTGGTATTAGTAAGGTTGTTTTTGGATTTTAAATTTCAGTAGGGATTTGTAGATAAAAAGTAAAAGAGAAGGGAAAGTGACAAATTTTTCTTTTATTTTTTCTTTTCATCCACAAATCCTAATACAAATTTAAGATCCAAATACTGTTTTAAAATATGTATACAAAATTTATGCACAGAATTATACTTAGAAAAATAATGTGTGGTTCAGATTCAATTCTGGTATGATAAATCCCAGATCTTGAATGAGTTTGAATCACATATTATATTTTCCGAGTATTTTTCTGTGTATGAATTTTGTGTTAGTGTCGTTATTTATTTGGGTATAGTACAAGGGTTAGTAGATGAGTCATTTTAGAGTTGGGTTTTGAGTGAAAAAATGAGAAAGGGTTTATTTTGAAGTGGCCCTTGAAGATCTCATTTTTTTTTAGGGTTTCTGTCTCTGATGTTTTAAGGAAGACAGAAACTGGCAGTGGTGGAACATTTACCACCCGCCACGTCATAGTTGCTTTTGTTGTTGTTGTTGTTGTTGTTTTTTTTTTTTTTTTATTGTTTTGGTTGGTTTTTTGTTTTTGAATTGTTCATTCAGTCCCTTAATTGAAAGCGTTTTTTTGCTTTGGGGGTTTGAATTGAAGTCATTGTTATCAGCTTTGTGCTGAGTATGTTATTTTTTTGGGGTGGTTTTGGTTTGAGTTGTTTTAATTTCTCTCTTTATCATGATATTATTGAAGGTGATGAGGGTTCTATCTAAAAATTATGATTCTCTCTCTCTCTCTCTCTCTAATATCAATTTGTAGCACCATTTCAGGATCACCACATGGCAAATCTATTATATAGTCCTTACCAAGTCTTCAACACAGAAAGATTAATCTCTAACAGTTGGAATTTTTTTTTTAATAAAATCCATGAAGAAAAAGAATAAAAGCAAAGAAAAAACAAGAATACTTCATGTCATGGATCTATTTGTAATGATTTTGATGCAATAAATATGTTTAAAGTTGAAGTAAAATTATATTACTTTAAAAAATATGATTTAAAAGTAAGTAAAAGATGGTTGTAACTATCATTTAAAAGAAGAAATTTCAACGTAGATGGATGACAGAAAAATGATAGGACAAAAAAAAAAAAAAAAAAACCAAATTTTGAAATCACAAACTCAGTAATTACAAGAGTAATTTAGGCATGAGAAAAAATGTGTGACATAAATTTTAACACTAAGTAAATTATATGTTTTATATAATAGAATAAATATGTAATATTTTAATATTATTTAAATTTAAATTCGAACAGTTAAATTATAATATTTTATTGTAGTAATACAATGACAAATTGGGCCAGAAAATCAGAAGGCTATAAGCCCAAACTTTATCTTATCATAATTAAATGTTGCTCAAATTGGGCCAGAAAAAGGCCGGGCTCAAACGGTCTCAAATACATCGGGCTTGAGCCTTTGCCTAAAGGAAAGTCCCCCTCCTCCCTCCAAAAATAAAAAAAATAAAAGAAGAAACGTCAAAAACAATACAAGCCATGAGAGTTTTTAGGAAAATTCTAATATACATTCATTTAACAACAATGATTCATCCCACTAAAAACATCACCACTAATAGCACTAATGCATTAAAAAAGTAAAAAAATAAAAATAAAAATACAATTCCAAGACCAAAACATCACATCATTAATGACGGGACCCACTGCCACCTAATTAGTGGGAGCACTAATTAGTGCTCCCAAGCATTATTCTTCATTTAAAAAAGATGTCCCCCCCTCAAAAAAATAAAATAAAAGAAGAAACGTCAAAAACAATACTAACAATGAGAGTTTTTAGGAAAATTCTAATATATACCTATTTAAAAAAGATGTGTCATATGTATCTTTAATTATATCATTTTCATATTATTATGACTAATTTTCTTATTAGTTATGTCATTATTTTAAATATAACTCATAAGTTCTTTAGTTATACCTCATATGGTGTTTAGTTATGATATTTTTTTTATAGTTACGACTCAAAAAATTAAAATTATGTTATTTTTCTTTTCAGTTATAAGGTACATATGATACACACCTTTTAAAAAGTGTTCATCGTAATATTTCCTAAATTTTTAACACGATACAAATTGAACAAAAAAAAAATTAATGTAGAGTTGGGTTGCCACTAGAGCTATGTCCAATGTAGAGATAAATCCAACTCTCAATTTCATCATCAAATATCTCCCTATTTTCCTTTTTAGGGGGTTTTGTTAACCCGTGTTTTTAGGATATATATTAAGATATTTTATTTGTTTATACTTTATGCATGAAAGATAGTGTAATAAAGAATGTATCATATTTTTACAGTAGTGGTACATGTACTAATTAGTGTTATGACATTATAATTGACTTTACATATTATACAAATTATAAATATTTAAAATCTCTAAAATTATATTACATCATCTGTTAATACATTAATTAATATATATATATAACATTATTCATATTTTTAAACTTCCTTATCATATACCTTAAAGGCATATTTTAAAAGACCCTTCTTTTATTACCTCTAGAGCATCCATTAGTGTTCAGTTTGATTTTCTCGATAAACAAAAGTTTCATTTGTTCATATTTGTCCTTAGACCATCTCCAACGCTTCACCAAACCTGACATCAAATTTAAAATTTAGTAAAAAAGTCACTTTTTTGAGCTTCAACGGTTTTACCAAATCGATATCAAATCGAGAATTCACCAAACCTATCACCAAAATGAGAACAGGCGCAGCATTTCACCAAATCACTGTTCCTGATCGTTGGGGGACACCAACCGGTCGACCACTAAAGGGTTCAAACAGTTCAAAAAAAAAAGTTCAAACAGTTCAAAAAAAAATTTGCCTTACCGGTCGACCACCTGGTCGTTCCGAAAAAAAGTTCAGACAGTTCACTGAAAAGGTTCAAACAATTCAAAAAAAATAATAATTTTGCCTTTACCGGTCGACCAACCGGTTGTCTCGGCGTAGATTTGATAAAAATTTGATTTGATGAACCATTGGAGCCCTACGTATCAGAATGAGAAAAAAGTCATTTTTTCACTCAGATTTGATGAAAATTTTGATGAACCGTTGGAGATGGTCTTAGTAATTTATTTCATATTTTCTGCAATTTTTTTTTGAGTACATCTAAAAGTAAAATAAAAAATTTGACTAAAATGTAAATAAAAAAATGTCTTTATAGACTCCAAAAAAAAAATCAAAAATATTTTTATAAAACTAAACCAAATAAAGTGAAATGAAAATTCCTAGTAGATGTACACAGTTCCCTAGCGTTAGTAGCCCCCTTAAACGTGGTCCATGATACCTAGCAAGACTTTATGAAGATTTTTTCCCCCTCTCTATCTACCCTCTTTATTGATCTTAGGAGCTCTAATTGAAAAAATAGATAGAAAGGGTTTAGATGGACCTGCAAATTCAGAAACATTGGTAGTAAATAGACATGAGTAAGTCTCTTCTTTTTCTAACCTTTTACTTAAACAGGCTCATTGGCAAATTAGATATGCTTTGTGTGGATTGTATCTGAGCCAACCACTTGTCACGCATCAATTGGACATCAAGGATCCTCCAACTAATATATCATAAAATCTTCCTACGTGGCAACAAATAAGACCCACAAAATCTCTCTACATCCAACAGCATCAAAGAAATAGATTTATGGATATGGCAACTTGGCAAGCTAGATAAGGGATAAGGAGGGAATGGATCCCATTGGCTAATCTGAAATCTCAGACACATCACAACCGTTGGTTTCTAAAAATCTAGCAAACCAACAATCACCATCCAAACAAAGAACAAGAACCACAAGGATAGTCACTGAAATGAAACACACAAGCATATAATACAAAACATACCCTTCCAAGATCACAACCCCCCCCCCTCTCTCTCCTCACCGGAATTCAGGTCGGCAAAGATGGCAACCATTACGGCGCAAGCATCCACCGCTGTCTTCCGGCCACGTGCCGCCAAATCCCAGTTCCTTACCGGTTCTTCCGGCAAGCTCAACAGAGAAATTTCACTTAAATCAAAATCTTCATCACCAAGATCATTCAAAGTTGAAGCCAAAGGTGAATGGTTACCGGGATTGCCCTCACCAGACTACCTTAATGGCAGGTCAGCATTTTTGTACCGAAAATTTTATACAAGCGTCTTTTTATTTCAACTCAAAACACTTATTACTGTGGAAATGGTACTATCACATTATTCTTACTATATATTTGTGTATAAAAATTTTGTTTATTCCTCATTACCCATTCATTTAACTTAGTGACATAACTTGTGTTTATTAAAAGATTAGTGATGAACAGCAACAAAAATTTCACAAAATTGTATAACAAAGTAAATAACATTTATTTACTAAAATTCCATTTAACTATACCCATCTACATAGAGTTGCAAGAATCCCTGCAATCCATACTGCAAGAAATCTTTCTTCATACATAATAGAGTATTGAGGGGGTGTTTGAATATTGGCTATTTTAACTATACCCATCTGCATAGAGTTGCAAGAATCCCTGCAATCCATACTGCAAGAAATCTTTCTTCATACATAATAGAGTATTGAGGGGGTGTTTGAATATTGGCTATTTTAGTAATTTTTTAACTTTTTATGAAAAGACATACAGAAAAATAAAGAGAGTTATATGACAAATTGTAGTATTTTTTTGACTAATATAACCTACTAGCAAACAAGATATTAATATTACTTTTAAAATTGTATATTTACCGCACTCAACTTTATATATAATATAAAAACTAAAAAGGTACAAATCCGTCATTTTAGAAGGATAAAAGTGATATAATTTTTATAATAGTTTTTTTATAATTTGGTATTCGGCCTAAAGGACCGGAGCCTCAATTAAAGCTATGACAAAACCTTGTATAGATTACCTCAAAAAATCATTTGCACCTAAAGAAAATTTGAACCTGAGATCATGAAATGAGTACACTCCCAGGCCTTGATCGCAAACCCCTTTGCAAGTGTAATTAATTCTACATGAAACCCTTTTTTGTCAATTTTGTTTTAAGTATTGACATAATAGTATTATGTCCTCTCCATATAGTTGAATATGATTTCTAACCCAATAACTAACGTAACTGTTTTACCCTGTTCCAGTCTCCCTGGTGACAATGGATTTGATCCTCTAGGCCTTGCAGAGGACCCTGAGAACCTAAAATGGTACATCCAAGCCGAGCTTGTGAACAGCCGGTGGGCCATGTTAGGGGTCACCGGAATGCTGCTGCCAGAAGTTTTCTCAACTATCGGAATAATCAATGTCCCCAAATGGTACGATGCAGGAAAAGCCGAGTACTTCGCGTCATCGTCAACTCTGTTCGTGATCGAGTTCATCTTGTTCCACTACGTTGAGATCCGACGATGGCAGGACATCAAGAACCCAGGAAGTGTCAACCAAGATCCTATCTTCAAGAACTATAGCTTGCCTCCCGGTGAGGTTGGGTACCCTGGTGGCATTTTCAATCCCCTGAATTTTGCACCCACCCAGGAGGCCAAGGAGAAGGAGCTTGCCAACGGTAAGTGTGTTGGAGCGCCTAACTTAGGATCTGTTTGGTGCAGCATTTTTAAGTTTTGGGCTAATGTGTGTGTGATTCATGTGCAGGGAGATTGGCAATGTTGGCATTCTTGGGATTCATCGTTCAGCACAATGTGACCGGAAAAGGGCCATTCGACAACCTCTTGCAGCATCTCTCCGACCCATGGCACAACACAATTATTCAGACATTCCAGGGTTACTAAATCGATAAGAAGCTAAAGGAAGATCTTGTATCGTCTATCATGTATCCGTGAATGAAATGGTTTTTGAGTGAGATTCATGCTTCGTTGTAAAACAATGAACCTTCAATGTACAGTGGAACTAAGATGGAACTATGGCATTATCGTTTATACTAAAGCGATATTAATTTCAAATTCGTCTAACCAAGCAACAACCGACAACTAGAAATTCCAACAAATACAATCTGATTTGAAATTGGATTCTATTAAAAAAGAGTTTGATTTACAGATGGGCAACCAAAACCTGCTAATAGGAGTCCCCTGCCCATTACAAGAAACTTTCTTGAGAAAAAGAGATCAGAAAACTAAATTCATGGACAACCTACAATCCTGTATGATATATATATACCTTATATAATATACAGCTAACAATTTGTTTAGTTACAAACCAAATGAGAATTGCTCAAAATCTGCTGTTATGTTGTTAACTTTCATATGGTAATGCAAAAATGAGTCTGCTCTTCGTCTCGTAGTAATGCGAAACGAAACTAGGCATCAGTAACTATCCAGTCGAAGCAAAACTGTTTGCTTGTAGCGATTTGTGTCTTGCAGCTACCGTTCTCAGCGACATGATGAACGGCAATATGTGTGAAAGTTAATGTGGTTGCTGCACACAAAAAAAGAAAGAAAGAAAGAACCACGATGTGAGACCAAATAGAATGAAAAAATTCAGATACACCTGGATCAAAGCGTGTTACGATAGCGACACTATAGTATATCATTCTTAAACGCTTTGCACAAATTTGATTTTAACCATAACAGACATCCATGTAAAGGGTGTCGGGGTTGTGAAGCAAGAACATGCAAGCTCAAATTTGGTCATCATTTACAGTGAGTTGCTAAATACACCTATCAAATTTCTCAATACAAGCACGGATACAAGTGTTTCTTCCTAAAGTACAAGATTCACAATGCATATGGCGGGCATGAGAAATTAAGTGAATGTATTTAGAAGCTCCCTCATTTACATGCCACGAAAGCTACAGAAACCTTTTCTAGCCCTAGACATGTATTCATCAGCTGTATGCCTACAGATGGGACACAACTTCAAATGGCCGTTCACAATCTAAGAAAGACTCAAATTGTGAGCAAATAATGTCTTCCATGACTTGGGATGACACAGGCGAAAAACTAAGCAGTTTAGTCACCCCTCATCCAAAAAATGTTGTACTATCAAAGAATTTAACTCAGTTCATAAATTGAAGAGGCACGTTAAGAACTATTTCATCAATTTAAAATCCTGCAAAGCTGACCATATAAAGATTAAAAAAAAAGACACACGACAATGCAAGGAATGCTAACCTGTGAGTATGAGTTGCCATTGAACATGGAAATGGAACAAGGTTCAGGCGGAGGAACCCAAGCATGATGCATGTTGTCATAGATAGGTCTAGAAAGTTGAAAATTGCTATTGATTTGATAATCCAAGGGATTTCCATGCAAGTTCATCTCTGTCTCGGGCCTCAATTTCTTTGCTTCCTGTAAATCTAGACCACTATACGGATGGTATGAATATTGCTCATTGAGTTGTAGTCTCAAGCATGCAGTGCTATCTAACCCATGCAAGGCACCACCTTCCTGTCGTGGGTTATCGACGTGTCTAGTATTCTCAATCTCCGCTTTGCCAGGACCGAAGTAACCAGAGTACGTTGGAAGGGAATGATCAGTGGAGCACTCCACATCTCTGTATAAAAACAATAATCATCCAACAGATTAAGCAAGATATCAGAAAGTAAACATTATTGACAATCTATGAAGCATGGATACCTCTCCTGAGGTCACATACTGGTGTCTGACACATGTTGGACAAGGATACACATTGAACATGTCAGACTGGGGACACTTGGGACACACTGTCCAATTTTTTTGAATTTTTAAATTGTGTTACCAAAATAGAATACACAAGGTTTATGAATTTGATAAGAATAAATATGCGACATAGGATAAATATATAATATTTAAAAATACGGCATGTAATAATATTGACAATTTGTGTGTCCGCATGTTCGTATCATGTCCGTGTCATGCTTCTTAGTTGACAATCAATGCGAGTCCATATATGCCCAAAGAAAAAAAAAACTATGGATGCTATCCAAGTGGATTTGATAGTCCCCTAAATTTAAATCATTATGACCATACAAGCAATAAAGATTGATGAAATAGAAGACTTTTCCACGAAAAGAGATATCAGTTTAATATATTGAAGTGAAGTGAGACATTTCCATGATGTTCAATTAAAATAATAAGTAACATTTAATAACAGTCCATTCACCTTTGAGGTAAAAAGTTTGGGTCCCCTGTTAATAGCATATGTTGATTCTCATTATCGGGAAGCCACGATAGTGGGGCTTCTTGCATACCACCCATCATCAAAGGCAAATGCATCCCATTCTGGAACTGTCATGCAAGATTGGTCTACATTAGCTTTTATCCAAAATCACAAACCACAAAAGCACATAGTTAACGATTTATTACCTGGCTAGTGCATTCCAGTGACATAAGAGGGTGCTTTGCAAAATTTTCCTGCAAGATTAGACAGGAGATTCGGTGTATTATTATTATCTAATTACTTTGATAATTCACCTAGAAACTTAAATCGGGTATATCTATTAGTACTACAATTAGCATATGTGTAGCACAATGTCAGGTGAAGTGTGCTAAGTACTATCGCTACATGCACAACCCTCCCTCTCACACGGGCAGGCCTCACCATGTGAGGAGCGGTTGTGGTTCATCAAATAAGGTAACTTGGGGTTCAAGTTCATAAACAAAAGTTAGTATTGTAAATTAGGGCAAAAAGGGCATATGTTAATGAAGCTATTGACATTCTCAAATTTTGGCGTAACTCTCCAATCATTTAATATTACATCATACCTTTTGAATTTGAATTCGGTTAAGTGATTCCCTTAGTGAGTCTTCCATCTGCCTAAGATGTTCAATGTTGTCAATCTTGTCAGGATTACTCCAACAGCTGAAGCAGCACAAAACAATATGAAATATTATATGGTAAGGTACAACAAAGAAATGTAGACAAATTAAATTGTAAAAATATAACAAAGTAGGCTTTAAGTGTTGGCTGTATCATGCCAATTTTGTGATTGACAAGCTAAAAAGAAACAATAAAACTAGCAATACTTAAAACAAATAAAAGCTTCAGAGTTGCACCTCAGTCTCTTATGCATTTCTGTAAGTTGAGCTTGCAACATCCTTACTTGGTTGGATAATTCCTATCCATAGCAATTTACATGAAAGATGTTAAACAAAGAATTCGATTAGGGTTCTAGCTATGAATAACAACTAAAATTTCTTAAAATTAAGGTCATCTAAAGCGATGAACAAGGGCTCACCTCAACTGATTGAGAGCTGCAAGGAAAAACAAGAGAGCATTAAATATCTCACAAAGACTTAATCATGAACTTCTAAGATTAATTAAAAAATAATCACACCTCGACCCCAGAAAGTCTTGTATATTTACATCATGATCCAACTTCTTAAAGGTTTTCTTCAATGCCTATATTATCAAATAGAACACCAAAATGTTTGAATGAGTATTTGTCATTCAATCTTCACTTAATCAAAACTGAGAGAGAGAGAGAGAGAATTTGTGTATTAGAGAATGGGTGGTATATTAATCTTACTTCAAGGCTCTCCAACTTCCTGCTCCAGTCAAAATGAAAATCATTTAGTGACAACACAAATCAAATTTAACCAAACAACAAAATACAAAAATAACCACAGAATTAGAATGATTTTTTCCTCACCTTTTTGTCCTTTCTTGTGGCGTCAGTTGAGCAAATTTTGCAATAACCTCTTCAATATTGCTGAAGAAGTAGAATACATGATTTTTTAGGACATGGTAAATGATCCAGATAAAAATATCCCATTGATACCTTACTCTGTTTTTTGTTTCAATTATTGGAGGAAAAAAATAAACTACAGCTCATATTGCCAAGAATCCAACACTAACGTTGGCCTACCTCACCAACAAAGGATAATTGGCACACAGAAAATGGGAGGCAGTTCTGGACCTTGCCATTGAAATGACTTGCAAGTTGTAGGAGATCCGAATGTTATAATGTAAAACTATATTACTTCATGACATAGAGTTCAGCAAAATTCCTTTATAAAATTCACAGTTAAAAGAATAGAGTAGAGCTCAAATGGCTTCATGCATTCTTAGCCATAGTAACACAATGTTTAATCCCATTACTTAGTGCAATTACAGCTATTTTCATTACTTCAACGTTGGATTATAAAATTAATACCTTCACATAAATACATATAGATTTAACACGGTGAGTATTGGATATTTTTTAAACTCTTTTTCATTTCTGTCACAAGACACCGGTATGTTTATCTCTCTCCATCTCCTACAGTTCATAATCTGCCAGACATAAAATTTGTGTCCCAATCCAAGATGGAACCAAGGTGTTAGAACAAAAGACTTTAAACCCAAACAAGATAGCATGCTGTAGTTGTGAATTACTTTTGAGTTCACAATGTTGAAGTTGAACTTATATATCAACAAATCAATGGTAGTACAATAGCTTCTTTAGCTGGGGGTTGTTTCCCAAATTTATCCAAGTAAAGGATTATAGTAAATATTGAGGCTAATATACAAGTATAACACAAAATTTAATAGAAACAGAGTCTCATGCTCAAGCCTAATAAAGTCTTATTAATGTACTACCCATCATATTCCACAGAGATATAATATGCCACAAGTTCAAGGCCTAGAAATACCTGCGCTCTCCACGGAATAATGTTGGCTTTCCCGTTGGAGAAAACATTAGAAGGATAAGGTCGATATCGCATAAAATCGATAATTCTTTGGCTTTCTTCAAGATGCCATTCCTTCTTTTTGAATAGGTCACTTGCCGGTTGCTCGTGCTCTCTAATCTCTTTATCTTCAACTTAACCCTCCCCATACTGCAAACAAATGAGAAATCTCCTCAAACCACGTATGCCCTACCAATATGTTTACACTCCAAGATTTGAGCTTCTCTAACCCTAGAATTCATTCCAATAAGCTCCAATGGGCATGAAAACCATGGGACAAGATCAAATTTTTCCAAAATCTCTATAAAAGAAGATACAATCAGAAATGAAAATTGACCAAAGACGTAAAATGATCTAACAATCAACCCAATAGTCTCTGTTTCCACAATATCATAACCCAATTCTGAATATTGATAAACTTACAACCCAATTCGAAAGCGACTGAATTTTGGGATACCCAGAAAGGAAATCTAAACCAAGGTGATAAAAGACACCTATTTTAAGAAAACCAGTTGAAGATTTCGAGTTTCGAACCGGTTCAGAACTCTGAAACCCTAGATTGTAAACTCGAAACAGAATCTACATATAACAAGACAAAATTGGAGAAGGGCCAAAAAAAGAAAATAAAAAAAAAGAAACCCATATGAGGAAATGGATTCAGGAAAGCAGCATAGGGAGAAAGGGAAGAGAGATAGAAACAGGAGGAGGAACTGGTAGAGAGAGAGAGAGAGAGAGAGGTTGGGATAGGACGAAGGGTTATGCTGTGATTGCGGAAGTTGAAACCAGCGAGAGAATCGGTGAGGTGTTAGAGATTTCACAAACCAACCATAGATGATGATGATGATGATGATGATGATGTATACATGTATGTTTGTATGTCTGTGTGTGTAGAGAGAGAGAGAGAGAGATACGGACTACGGACGGTGAGGCTTTCCAACGTTGGAAGAGAGTGATACAGAGAACTTCAGAGCCAAGAAATGGCTTCCTCCATCTTTACTTAAAATATTAATTAATCCTTATAATTTTAAAAATTACAATTTTTTTTCAAAATTTTTTATTTGGTATAATTAATAAAAATAAATAAAATTCTTAATTACTGTCTTATACACCGATATTAAAACTTGAGAGGGTGGTTTATGACCTGGAATTGGGCCGAGGCAACGGCCGAGCAGGTTGAGAGCCCAACCGTGCATGGGGCCGAGATGATCGACTATCCGCCCGGGGATGGGCTGCCAGAACTTGGCCCGGGTAGGAATTGGGCCAAGTGTGTCTCGCCCCGGACCGTAAAGAAGCTCGGCAAGGTAGTGCTCGGTTGGACCAAGCTGCTTGATTAGGGGATGGCTGAAGCCAGACAAGCTGAGCAACCGGCGCCCGGAAAGGCGTGGTCAACCGAGGAAACCGTTTGATCGGCAGGAAGGCCGACCACAGGAGGTGCCTCGGGCTTGGCTTTGCCGAGATGCCGTCTAGCCCGGTCCTCCCTGGGCCTAGCCAGTGAAGCGCTTGGGTATGAAGCACAGCACGACCGTGGATAGAGCAGCTCGGCTGCCGAGCTCCAGCTGAGAAGGCAGGCAGTTGTGATTAGGTGATGATCGGCAAGGTTTATGCTGACAGATGGGATAGCGGAGCCACGTGTCAGGAGATGACTGGGAGTGGATATGGGGCGCAGAGGGTATATAAGTATGTCTGCGCCCCCCATACGCGACGGATGAACACTTTGTAAGGAATTTCTTACATTCAAACACCTCTCTCTCTCTCTCTCTTAAGGTGTGTGCTAACTTGATCGTCGGAGGGTTTTTCCGGCCACACACCGCCGAGTAGTCACCATTGTTTGCGCGCAGGTGATCGGACAGAAACGGAGCTCGGAAGAAAGGAGTACGGGCTTGCCGGAATATTTGTTCCCCGTACAATTGGCGCCGTCTGTGGGAAACTTGACAGACACAACCTTGTCTTCCAGGTTCATCTGATCGCCGTCCATGGCGAACAACGATGAGTTTCCGTTGTCTGCCATAGATGGAGCTACCCCAGAGTTCACCCAAAGGAGAGAAGGCGCTCCTGCCATCCATCCAATGGCGGACTTGGGGACGCCCACCGGAGGCCAGTTAGGAGACGCGCGGGATAAGCGCGGAAGAAGTCATGGACATTCACGGAGTCCAGACGGTCACCGGCGGAGGAGAGACTCACACGCCAGACGTCTGGAAAATAAGTTGAGGGATCAAGACGCTGTCATCCGGCGAATGGCGGCGGAGATGGAGGATCTGAAGCGGCATGTCAAAGGGAAGGGAGTAGCTGGAGTGGGAGACCACAGTGAGCGCACCCCATCCCGTCGTTCAGGCGGCCAGAGTCAGCGACGTACTCAGTCCATATCTATTACTAGAAGTTACCAGGTTGGTGATTCCGACGCGCATGTAGAAAAGTCTAGCGCGCAAGACAACACCTACAAACCTTCACGTCCGGCGACGACGTCAAGGAACTCTTACTCCGCTCAGTCAGAGGATTTACGGGTGGTCTTAAATAAGCGGGCTCGTCGGCGCGAAGCCCAGAGAATACCTGCTTTCCAGCGGCTATCCTACGAGGTTCACACCAACAGGAGGTCGGAATGCCTCCACCCCGCCAAGCAGTGCCACTCTTTGAAGATACGGACTTGGCTAGGCTGAGTGCCACCCCTTTTTCCCTGGAAATAGAAACAACACCGCTTCTGACAGGCTTCCACCAGCCTAAGTTCACACTTTACGACGGAAAAACCGATCCACATATGCATGTGAGCCACTTCCGACAGGTTATGGCCGGACATAGGCGCAATGACGGACTTATGTGCCTAATCTTCCCGTCAAGTTTGGGCGAGCTGGGCTTAAAGTGGTTCGAGAGGTTGCCGGAAGGGAGCATACAAAGGTGGCATCAGCTGGCCGAGGCGTTTGTTACACGCTTCAAAACCAACACAAAGACACCAAAGGAAGTCGATCATTTGTTGAGTGTCAAGATGGAACCGAGCGACACACTGAAGGTATACAACTCAAGGTACTGGGAAACCTTCAACGAGATCTTGGACTGCCCGGTCAACCTTGCAATCACGCAATACAAGCGTGGTCTCCCGGTCGGACATAGACTGCGGGACTCACTTACTATGCACCAGCCGACCTCCATGGGCCAGCTCATGCAGCGCATCAATGAACACATCCAAGTAGAGGATGACGCGTCAGCTTCAACCGTGAAGGCCACTCCGGTAGCAACAAACAAGAAGACAGCAGGCAAAGTGCACGCAGTTGGGCAAGAGTCCAGCCGCTCAAGTGACCAAGCAGAGGAATCGGGCCGTGGCTCGAACCGTAAAAACTGGGGTAGAGGACGTCGGAATGACTGGGATGACTACCCCCGAGATGACGTAGCGGACGCAAACAGAAGGATGAAGGAAAGGACTGGCATAACCACGGTCTTCAAGATTCCAATCTATCACATACTTAGTGAAATCCGAGACGAGGAGTATGTCCGGTTTCCTGCTAAGTTGGGCGATGGACAAAAGGGATACAATCCGCGGTATCGTTGCACGTTCCACCGGGAGAGAGGCCACCGGACTGAGGATTGTTTGTCTTTGCGGCAACATTTAGAAGAGCTGGTTGCGGCCGGGCATCTAGACCTTTACATTGATGGCGGAGTAAAGCCGAATCAGGCTCCGGTCGATCCCAGGGGACAGGATGACCAAGACGCACCACCACAAGGAGTTATTAATGTTATCCACGGCATTGTGGAACCGGAGCGTGTCTGCGAACTCCGGGGCATGATAAAAAAGGCAGAGCATATGAGGGAAGTTTTGTCGGTACAACCTGCCATCAAAAGGGGGAAGACAGAAGATGGGCACTTGGTATTTTGTGTAGTGTCATGGATGAAAATACTTTTCCTTCTATTATTGTCACAGATAGAGAATTCGCTCTTATGAATGCCATATGTACGGTGTTTCCTGCAACTACAAATTTGTTGTGTAGATGGCATATTGGAAAAAAATATGCTTGCTAATTGCAAAAAGATGTTTGAGACAAAGGATAAATGGGAAATGTTTATAATGGGTTGGAATATGTTGGTTATGTCATTGTCTGAAAAAGTATACATGCAACGACTGTCTTTGTTATATAGTGAGTTCAATACTTATCAAGATGCACTTCATTATGTTACCTCATCTTGGTTGGATACATACAAGTCAAAATTTGTGGCAGCTTGGACTGACACATTTATGCACTTTGGAAATTCTACAACAAATAGATAATGAACATTTAAATTTATTAGTTGTTTGGTTTTTTATAACATTATTTTTATAACAGTTTATTTTCATATATAAGGTTGAGAGTTCACATGCAAAACTTAAAAGATATCTTGGATCAAGTTAAGAAAATTTTGAGTCGAATTGGACAAGGATACACAATTTAATTGAGTTTCAACATAGTGAAATAAAATCATCATTTGAGAAAAGTAAGATAGTTGTGCAACATGATTTCAAACCTGCGCAGTTTAAGGAGCTTCGTGGTAATGTCTCAATTACTGTATTAGAGATCATATTGGCAGAGTCTAAATGAGCATCTTCTGTTGGTATTGATACTACTACATGTGGATGTGTCATTCGACGTACTCATGGTTTGCCATGTGCACATGAGGTAGCAAATTACATGAGGGAAAATCAGCCAATTGCCCTCACTTTGGTTTATTCATATTGGACTAAGCTTGATATGTTGAGTGCCCCACACACTATAAGTGAAGAGTGGACTTGTACACCTGAGTTAGAATTGTTTGCCAAACGATTCGAGGAGGTGGATCCAGATGTGAAGAGGTTTTGTTACAGAAATTGAGGGACTTAGCCAAACCTAATTGTACATTTTTGATTGAGCTGGAAATGAAGTCTAATCCACGGGGTCGGCCAAAATTGAAGATTGAGACCTCCACTCGTCGTGAGCCATCTGCGTTTGAAATAGTTGCTTCAGCACAAGATAGTTATTCACCCGGAGTCATTGCCAAAGCGAGTGTAACAATAAAAAAGGTGAAAACAAAGAAGACAAACAAGGTACATGGTTTACTAGTGAGGTATATAATTGTGTCATGTTGTCTACTTTATTGTCCAACATTGGCATTGGCCTAGGTCTGTGATAAGTTCACCGGTTTCGATCATTAAATCCAAATTGCTTTTTAGAGGCATTCCCTTCTGAATTGAGATGATATATTAAATACATTAAGGATGTTGCAGCACATGAAAATTGTGGGTTCCGAGCTATTGCTGGTTTGATGGGTTTTGGAGAAGAAGGATGGTTACAAGTGAGAAAAGATTTACCTAAAGAGTTGCATGCGCATAGTGACCACTATAGGAAATTATTTGGATCACAAGAGAGAATCGATGACCTTATCAACATCTTGGCATATTTTGAACCAAACCCTGGGTTGGACTAATGGATGACGATGCCTGACATGGGTCATCTTAGGTCAACGTCTTTCTACCAATTCGTTTTGGTCCACTTGTCTATACAACAGTGTTTGACATTCCTCCCTCTTAGGTCAATATCGACGTCCGTTGCTTTTCACAAGGAGATATGTATTGGCTTCCGGTCGACGTGGTTTTTTGTTCAAATATTGATTTATACCGAGATGTTTTGCTGAAGATGGAATTGATGACAACCGTGCTAACACTTGGCAAAATTTGAATTTTTCATTGACAAGAAAATCAATACAAAAGGTGGGGACAGAGCCCGGTTACATCAGAAGCGTTGAAAGCAAAAATACAAAAAAAAAATAAAAGAAAACTAAACTAAGGGGGAGAGATTGGTAAACTCGTCCTCGCCGGCATCAAGGTTGATGGTTGGACTTATGTCTTGGGCACCGGGCTCGTCATTGCCGGGCTGCTCTTGCACCTCGGCCTCCTCTGCCTCAGAATCTGTCTCACCGTCTCCCTCTTCAAGTCCTTCCTCGGCCTCAGCTTGCAAAGCGCTGAAGACGTCGTTTGCATAAGGCACGAGGTAGACCGGTA